AGACCAACTTTTACCTGTACATATTTATAATAAGTTAATAGATTTTCTATCAATTAACATGCTTTTCTTGTCTATATACATTAAAACACAAAAAATATGATCTATTCAGTAAAAAACTAATCAACCATCCCCGGTCTCCCTATCTAAGCAGAAATTATAGGTACCTACATGCGACATACGTAGATGTTTTATATTATTTAACTTATTATAGGTCGTTAGTCTGACACCTACTTCCTAATGAAAGAAATAGACCAAAACATCTAAAAATTCTTATTTTTTTTTAGACAGTCACTGTCAATAGTAGACCACGTCAATGCCAACATACTGGTTGTAAATGTTTGTTAACCTACTCACATATTACATAAAAACCACATGTAAGTATATTTTGCAAAACTGACAACAGCCACGACCTCAACACATTTGTTTGTATCGCGTAGTAGCCATTCCAGACAGCACATGCATGTATACATCAACAATTGTTTGTTTCTAATTTGGGTTACTCGCTGTCACTCACTGTTATAATATTACAGTACATACATATTTATAGTTATTGGACACTCCGGGCGAATCTTCGTTATTTTTATCTGCTGCATGCACGTAGTAAATTTTTTTGAAAACTATTTTTAATGCAAACGCGACCTCGTCAAATAACCACCATTATGTGAGAGAAAGAACCATTTTTATGGGCTTTATTATGTAAATTTCCGTTCTTCAGGAAATTAAAAAGCTTATAAATTTTCTAATAAAATATATGTATATTCTTCTATAAGATGATCCAAATGAAAAATGATTAATGTTTTCTTTAACTTTCAATAAGTTTCTTCAGCGTTATTTTTGTTTCTTTCCCAAACATCATCATTTTCTGGAAAAATAATAACCTAAATATATGGGTTTTCTAAAATAAAAACTATAAAGGCGTCACATTTCTTACATAAGAAAATACGTATTGAATAAAATAATTTGAAGTGGATGTATTCTTGCGGATCGCGATTTCGATCTTTTTGGATCTCATCAGCGCGTCGCAGACAGCTCCCACAAAACACAGACCAACTTTTACCTGCTGTCTTAACAGCACGTTTTAGAAAATACTACAAATGGCGCAGTAAACGCCATCTGTAGTACGATGCTACATTTTAGGATTACGTATGCTCCAACAAGGCCCATTTATATATATGGATATCTACTTCTGAAACGAATCCCGGCGTAGCTAACCTCAACGTGGTAGGCACGTTATCATAATCGATTAATCTTAACTTCTTTAGCGAGATAAAAAAAAAATTTTCTATCCTTCGGGAACAGTACTATTGTTCTGAATAAAAGGTATCCTCCGTTCTTTTGATTGGTTGAGCAGTTAAGGCGTGAAATGGGTATAAACACGGAGAAAACAAAATTTGTACGACAACGCAAAAATTACAACTTCCGATTGTAAATGACTGAACTTGCCGTAAAATTAGTAGAATTTATTAGGTTTATTTATAATATTAGTTATGATTAGATAGTCAAACCGATGCTTTGCCTTACGTTTTAGAGCATCATTAAGGTGAATGGGTTTCAGTTATTTATTACATTATGATTATATATTACCTTGTCCAGAATTGTGTTTGTTAAGTAATGTTTTTATAATCTATCGTTAACTAACAAGAATGATCTATCTCCACAAATCATTAAAACGAGGCGAAATTAATAATAAAAAAACTTCACTGCTTAGTTACTTTGAATTGTTAGAAATTATTGATTATAAACGGAAAATATGGCATTTAAGAATTTCTTCTGTTACATATATTTATTATTACCTAAAACTTTTCGTGTATTTCTACTATTCTGAACAATTTTTCAACAAATTGATAATTCACTTAGTGTATGTGTATATTTTTAAACTTGACATTGGAAAACCTATTTTAAATTTAAATGCAAAATCATGAGTTTCAAAAGATATATATAGCATTATAATAAAGAACAGGCTAAACAATCACAACAAAATTTAATATTATTATTGTGAAATGCTTACCTATAGTCATTAAAGTATTTATTTAAGACAGTGAAGTTAAATATAATTCAATGCAATAAATTGGTTCCCTTGATAAAGCTGGGATGTGGTTAGTCCAGTTTAAATTACATTACATTAGCTAAGGTATTCGGTTAAGATTGAAGTATTTGCTATTGGTTATATACATTAGGTAAATAGTTTATTTAAGGCAGTGTCTTTAAATACAATTCGAAGTTAAAAAATTCGTAGAGGCAGATACTATACGGTTACTCCATTTTAAAATGCATTGCGGTAGCTAAAATATAGTTATATTCGGTTAATTGTAAGATTAGTGCATTATGCCCCTTATATATACACACGAATGGTGAATCTACCGACCGGCTATTTCGCCGGTATACATAGAGCTGGAGCTGCAACGTAGAGAAATAAATATTAGAGTCAGACAAGGATGCACACTGCCACTGTTATTTTATAATCTACACATCTAAGACGCGATCAAAATCATAGTACCTACAACTGTAGGGATAGATATACAGGGACAAAAGATTAGTATGCTTAGATTTGCAGATGATATAACAGTATTAGCATCTGGCAAGGAGAAGATAGAGATAGCTTTAAATATAATGGAAGAGAAGTATTGGCAAAGCAGTATTGTATGAAAATAAATAGAAGTAATACAAAAATACTGGTATGCAAGGGAAGAAAAAGTAGAGAAGTGGCTGATTTTAGGAATATAGGAAGTCAGATAAGTCAGAACGGAAGGAGTAGTAGGGATATAAAGCAGAAGATAGCGCTGGGTCGAGTCGCCTTCAATAAAAAGAAGTCACTTCTACGCTTGAGAACGATTATTTATAAATTCAAAAAACATTGTTGAAGGTGTATGTTTGTAAAACGGCGCTGTACGGGTGCGAAACATGGGCAGTGGGCGAGGCGGAAAAGAAAAGGTTAGAAGCGTTCGAAATGTGGCGTTACAGGCTAAAGATGAGGATACCGTGGATAAAGAAAGTTAAAAATGAAGAGGTATTAGAAAGAATAGGTATACAGAGGACTCTATGGAAATCAATAAGGAATATGCGAGATAGGTTGGAAGGACGCCTTCTCAGGTATGAAAGTCTAGCAGAGACATATTAGATGCAGAAACAGAAATTAAGAGGAGTAGAGGCAGACCTAGATTAGATTACTGTTCGCAAATGGTTAAGGATGCGGGTTGTTCTAGTTTTAGGGAAATGCGAAGATTAGCTCAGGATAGGAAAGAGTGGAGGTACTTGTCCAATCAGTTTTAGGACTGACGACCTTATGAGGATGAGGACTGGTATAATGCGTTTTTAGTGATTACTCGTTTCTGATATCAATGAAGGGATCCATAATTTTTTTTGTTAATGCTTTTTTATCTATCATTTCTTTATACACAAAATACACAAGTGTAGTTTTGTTTTCGCATTTCATTCTTCAAAGCCCACAAAATTTTAGATACGTGTACCTCTATAGATAAGCTTTATATAGGACCTTACAGTACAGCACTGCTAGCCAATCAGAAATTAAATCTTTGGTGTCGCGTGCATTGTAACATCGGTTCTTTTACCGGTCTGTGAAATAGCCGGTTGACGGATTAACCCTTCGTGTGCAATCAGCCCTAGTTTCTATTCCTTTACACAAGATACTTGAGTGTGAACCTGCAACTATCCTTGACAGAATTTCCAAATTCTTATGATAGATTGATAACAGGATGTCGACGATGTGCTGCCAATTTCTATAAAATATGAGATCGTCTAATTGTATAAATGTGTTCCGTTTATAAATTACATTTTCAAAAATAAAACAAAAAACAATTAAAGGTTCAGTAGCAGTAACCTTAACCTTGGGCTCCCTACGTGATATGTACTTAATGACATATACATTTTTTATTATATATTCGAATATTTAATGGCTTATAACTCGGTAAATAAAGATTTATTTATTTTTATAAATAAGTAGGTGTTTTTTAACCGACATTGCCAAGACATGAATGCATTTTAGTGTTGTTAAATAAAGCATTAATTTTTTCCAACTTAACCACTTCTTTACAGTCATATTTTGAATGTAGTGGCTACGAATGGTATTATAATTATTTGAATATCTAAATATTTGAATTCTTATGTATAATACAAATGCACAAAAAATTATTTGAAATTTAAAAACTCAAATGTAGTCAAATAAACAAATATTTGAAAGTTCGAAACAATGAATATCTGGATAATATTGCGAATGTAAATCATCATACATCAAAATTTAGATATTCAAGTATCTGACATATTTAAATATTTGATTTATTGAATGTTTCATTATTTAAATATATACTTCAATATTTAGAAATATTCAAAAATCAAATAATTTGGATATTCGAATCAAATTATAAGCAAATATTTGATTGTACTTATTAAACACGAAAATTAATGTCAACTGTGAAAATTCTCAGTGCCTCATATTAATTATATATGTGTCTCCTCTAAAAATGTGAAACAAAACCTAGGCATTTTATTATCGAAGAAGATAATTTAAACAACACAGTAGCAGTCTAGCCTCTAGCAGTTACCTTTTTTCAAATCTTATCTTCTAATTCAAACACAGCACATATTTATGGCTTGGCTTAATCTATTTCACTACTCTAATGCATGTACAAAAACATATATTCAACTGACTTCAACAAAAGTCCTCAATTTGACTGTATTTCTTTTTGTATATTTTACGCTTACGCGATTTCTTCACCGAGTGTGGACCGATATTGATAATTCTTCTTGTACTGCATCAGCCATGTCTCAAGGAAGATCTTTAAGTGTTAATAAAATATCCCAGAAAATTAGAGGATAAGTCCCATATTTAGCTCATATAGGCAAAGTCGATTTTTATAAACTTTAAATTTTATTATTTAAACAAGAGTGCAGAATTGTTTTGAAATTTTGAACAGAAATAGTAAACAGTAAGTCATCAGAGGTATATATATATTTAATAATATTATACAATTAGTAAAATGACTTTATAGCTTATGGGTTTTGCACATGAACACCTTTTTGTAATCTTTCTCTGAACGCGATTTATTGTACTTTTGTTAAGTTTCTGACCTAGTCTAGACAGGAAAAAATATACCTTTATTACGAAGTTACGGACCTTTTTTACTTCACCTACAACACCAGACCTGTATCTAATAAATAACAGCTATTTATTTAAAATCATATGTTTTACTCATTCTTGCATGGACAAATTTCATTTACACTGTATATACTAATTTAAAATAACCTTTTTCTATTTATAAAGGAATCGCAACTAGTCGTATACGTAACACAGTGGTACAGGTTCGTACGTATGTATGTACTTATTTTACAAATAAAACTTCGTACCTCAACCCAAACCCTCAATTATAGATACAACAAATAAAACGAGTGAATTATTACTTACCTATTAAAATAGCAACAATTTGAAACCACTGGCGATTTCGTTGATCTCCTGGATGCACTTTAAGTTCACTAATCATTTTTTTAGGAGCGCTACCAAGTGCCGAGTGCTTGGGTGGAGCAATGCCCCGCGTATCTAACAATATTCTTACAGCGTGTTATTGCTATTTTAAAATTTTATGTGTCCCCCGTTAAGTGCGAGCATTTTTGACTTTTTCGTAGTTTACAATCACTTAACGAAGCAAATCGATCAGCATCACGCTGGCCCGTTTATGCCGGCTCTGATAATAGAAGCGTCTATTAATACGTGAATGTTTAAAACAATTTTTGCCAAGTGAGATGAAAAGCCACATGCGGGTGCATGTACAGTAGTTATCTAAATAAACAATACATCACAAATCGTCTAATCGTTTTTGAAAAAGAGAACAACGTGATGTGCCAAAACGCTATCGCTTCTTATAAATGTAAATAGATGCATGCAAACGAAAATGCACAATATTTTGTGTAATTATAAACTGATAATTTATAAAATATTTGAACAAACATGCGAAAGTGTAATAAATTACGTAAAATACTGCAGTTACACTAGTACTAGTATCAAAACAAGTACTATTCAAACTTCTAACTCATTAGGACCGATGTGTACCGACTGTAGGGTACGAAACGACAATAAAATTGTTAAAAAAAGGTAATATTTAATTAAGGGACGAAACGAGGAGATACAAAAAGAGGATAAACGGTAAATTCGAACAGTTTGCTCTTGCTTCATGAACAATTGAATAAATCCATTAATTTTTATTTTATATGCCTAATGACAAACAAAAGTTAGAATTACAGTAAAACTAAGTTGTACCCGCGGCTTCGCTCGCATTGATGTCCTTAGGTGTCAAGGAGCATCGGCGATCACATAAAACTAATTTTTTATATCCCTCAGGAAAGGTCTTTTTTTCCGGATAAGAAAAGGAACTCTATGTCCTTTTCTGTTACCCTGACAATGTCTGTACAAAATTTCGTGATGGGTTCTACCCGTGGCTTCGCTCGCGTTGATGTCCTAAATACATGCAAAGGATCAAGGACTACCACATAAAATTAATTTTTCTATCCTTCGGGAACAGAAGCGGATTAAACGTAGAAAGCGTCCTAGGCAAACACCTCATCAACGCCACCCTACCGTCCATAGATTAAAAATTATAACTATAGTACATACTAGTGGTATACACGGATGATGATCAGGCCCCTAGCGAAGTATTCTATTGGGGGTGCAACCGAATAACCAACGCTATGTTTCAAAAACGCTATCGAAGCGTTTTTCAAGGGAGGAGAATCATACGTTACAGCTCGGCAGTAGTTTTGTTCCCATTCACTACAATATCAGACGTTTACGTGTTGGCCACGTAAAAAATTGATTCTTAAATGGATGCAGAAGTTTCGAGCTACAGGTTCCTCCATAAATCAGCCACGTTCGGGTCCGAGCAGAACTGACGAAACAGTAAATGAAGTTGCAGCTAGTGTTCATCGCAATTCTCGACTATCAATACTTAGAGCGAATTTTGAAGCGTGATCTGAAATTTCATCCCTATAAAATCCAGATAGTGTAGATAGTAACGAAAAATGGTCACAATCTACGAAAAAGCTTTTGTCAGACTGTTATTGAGGGATTTTGAATAGTGTGTTTTGAAGTGATGAAGCAGATTTCCATTTGAATTGATATGTGAATAAGTAACCAGAATTGTCGCTTCAGGGCACCTATCAATTCCAGGCAAAAACATCAAACACCACTGTAAAGCCCAAAAGTGACAGTGTGGTGTGCTCTGTCAGCCAATAATTCGGGCTGTGTTTTTTTAAATTTGAGAGATGCAACAACAGGAGTTACTGGTGATGCATATCGACAAATGATATCAAGTTATTTTAAATCCAGGCTTCAAGAACATGCTGCTACTTACTTAGTTTCAGCAGGAGGAAGCCACTTCCCAAACTGCAAGAACTGTGCACCAACAGAAAGTGAGAAACGACTTTTTTTGTAAATATTTCTTAAGGATAGTTTTTCATTATTCCAAATTTCATTTCAAATATTATTTCATTTCAATTTCTTATCTTGTAAATACTTTGGTTTTCTTTCAATTTAAACTCTATTGTTCTCTCAATCACTTTTACCCAGAATTCCAACTTCAACCATACCTGCATGCGCTCCCATACTAATATCTGGTTTTACCCGTAATTGCTTTCTCTTGAACTCTATACTGCTTAATTCTACGTATTCCTACAAACTAGTGTCTTCACCCTCTCTCTCACTACTTTTCCTTCTAGAACATTCTATCAAAATTACTAACAATCCTATCCTATAAATACTCCCAAATTTCATATCTCAAGACAGTCTCTCGTCTACCGCCTCTACTACCATTTGTAAGTGTTTCTGCTTTTATCTGTATTGTTTTCATTTTTGTTGTCTTTGTTATTGTTATTGTTGCATTATCTTGTTCTTTTTGTCACTTTGTTCTCGTTTGTTTGTTTCACTCCTTGTGCCTTTTTGTTACTTGTGTTTTCGTTTTGTTCTTGTTGTATATAAATTGTTATTCGTTATTGTTAGTGTTTTCTTGGTATTTAAATAATTTAACACCAAAAGACACTAAAAAAGAATATATTTATATTGCATGGGTACTTACTGACAATTACTTTTTTATTTTTCAAAAATTTTCCGCGCATGCTCCTTTGTAAATTTGCGCTCTAGGCATGTCTCTGGTTTGCCTTACGGATAATTCGCTTCTGTTTGGGAACAGTATTTTTTTTTCTAAATGAAAGTTACTCTGTGTCCTTTTCTTGCCCCTAACAATATGTGTACAAAGTTTCATGATATCTATATTCTACCCTGCGGTTTCGTTCGGGTTGATGTTCTAAATACGTCAATACGACAACCACATAAAACTTACTTTGTTTCTCCCTCGGGAAGAGTATTTCCTTTTCTGAATAAAAAGTATTCTACGTCCTTTTATGTACCCCTCACAATGTGTGTACAAGATTTCATGATGGTCGGTTGAATAGTTGAAGTGTGAAATGGTATCAAATAAACAAACAAGCAACTAAACATTCGCATTTATGGTATTACATGTCTGCGTTTAGAAAAAAAATTATATGATGATTATAGGAATTTTTTACTTTTACTTTTTTGTAACCCTCTACTTAATAACTTATATCTACAAAAAAAATAAGAAAGTAGTTTCATATTCGTAAGTCCATCATTACAAAATAATTCAAAAGAAGTTAAAATACAATTTTAATGACAATCTTCGAACGCCTAAACCCTGTACCACAAATTACACTTCGTTTCATTCGGTTGCCTACATATAAGCTTGTGTGTTAATATAAATGTGTTATGTCAAAAATGTTTGAGTGCATATCACTTTTCGAAAGACAATTGTGGATACAAAAACTTTTGTACAGCATTTAATAATTCTCTCGGTTAAGTTTAAAGAATAGGTGCAAAAAATACGAACTCGATACAAATTTTTATGAAAGTAATCAAGCAACAATGTGGGAAAGGTTTTTATTTTTACGAGACCAACAACCTACGTTTCGCTTTAATTTTGAGGCATCTTCAGGGTTAGGTTTATAAGTTATAAAATATGCAAGTCCAAGGTTATAAGATTGCCCCATTGTACCTTGATTTCTCACTTTATACAATTGTTGGGGAAGAAATGTCAACAAAAATCATAATATAATTGATAGAAATCTTTGATACTTTGTGAAGCTCTATTATAATTTAAAATCACTAAAATCATGTGAATGTATTCAATTTTTTAGCCTATAAGATCAATAAATCTAACTACACATTGTTCAAAAGTTACATGTTTTTTATTTAGAGAATAGCGTTGAAGTATTTTTGTATAGCTTTTACTAGGTTATTATATTCATTTTTATTAAGAAATTATTAATCTTTTCTAAAAAAAGAATCAATTAAAAGTAAGTGTTGTTTAACGAATGACAACTAATGTAAGCATTTTCTAGAATGGTAATTTTACCAAGGAATCAAACTTTCTAACCGCACGTAAAAATTAAAACTCGTACTGACCATTCAACTGAGAAAGTGGCACAGTTTCTACCTAGATAACTCTTTATCATCTTCAGTTCTTCTTACTTAAGTATATCATTTTAACTAGAACAGCTTTTCAATCGTAGACACGAATGCAGGTGAATAAACCCAGATATTTAAATGTCGATCAATTAATAAGATAAATAATCAGTATTCCATTTTAATTAATTAATTTCTGTATAAATGTGATTATAGCAGTATTAGCATCTAGCAAGGAGGATCTAGAGATAGCTTTAAATAAAATGGAAGCGGTACTCAGAGGCGGATTAAATGTCGAGAGCGCTCTAGGCTAGCACCCCATAGGCGCCCCTCTGGCGGTCATATATTTTGCAAAATACTTTTTATTTATTAGGTACTTCCTTTTTAGGTTTAAAAACTTCCGCGAGCGCCCCTTTTTAATCTTGCGCCCCTAGGCATATGCCTACTTTGCCTTATGGATAATCCGCCACTGGCGGTACTGACAGATCAGTTCTATATGAAAATAAATAAAAGTAAAACTAAAATACTGATATGCAAGGGAAGAAGAAGTAGGGAAAGAGCGAATATAAAGATAGGAGACGAAAAATTAAAAGAAGTGGCTGATTTTAGATATCTAGGAAGTCAGATAAGTCAGGACGGAAGGAGTAGTAGGGATATAAAGCAGAGGATAGCGCAGGGTCGTGTCGCCTTTAATAAAAAGAAGTCACTTCTATGCTCGCGAACGGTTAATTTAGAAATTCGAAAATAGTTGTTAATGGTGTATGTTTGGAGCGCGGCGCTATACGGGTGCGAAATATGGACAGTGGGCGCGGCGGAAAAGAAAAGGTTAGAAGCCTTCGAAATATGGTGTTATAGGCGGATGATGAGGATAACGTGGGTAGAAAACGTTAGAAATGAAGAGGTATTAGAAAAAATTGGAGAACACAGGACTTTATGGAAGTCAATAAAAAATAGGCGAGGTAGGTTGGTAGGACACCTTCTCAGGCATGAAGGTCAATTAAAAAAGGGGAAATCACAAAGGTAAAGTACGCATAGTAACTGTATCGAGAATTTTTCTTTTTCGACCAATAGGAACATTTTCTTTCGGCTTTTTAGTTCAAATTAAAAAAAAAACGAAAATAAGTCACTTTTGACACCCTGTATCTTTTTCCACACCAACATTTTATTAATGGCATGGTTGGTCCAATTTTCATATTTTGGTCCACTTGTTCTATGTCCGAATAATTATGACTCACCCTGTATAGTTAGTCACCTTTGGACACGCACAATAAGATTGAATTTAACTATACTGATTATCCTGTTACATAACCGTAAAAGAATAAAGTGTTTTTT